TAACTATAACTTCAACTAACTCAGAATATATCAACGAGTCAAAATATCGAAACAGACAAGCATAATGAATTGTTGAATAAGTGAGTACAAAAGATAAGATCCTAGTTACTACTTCAACTTCCCTCACATTCTATAGCATACCCTAAGTCAATGATCATTAATTAGTATTGTTTCCTTTTTTTGATAATCAACGGTTTATTGTAATGCACTGCGTACAAGACTTTACTGCTCTACAAATATTGTTTCTCGATTGTTCAGTCTTCATTTTATTCTTTTCAAAGGCTCTTTAGAAGCTTTTGATAAATCTTATTGCGAGACAGTAAATATTTATACATCATATCATATATTCGTATATCTGTTTTGAGTTTTTTGTGAGGAAAATAAAATGCTAAGGAAATCAATTCACCACACCAACCAGACTGGTAACTTGTGAGATAGATAAACACACCTATTTTATTGTATACACATGCGCACTTGTACAGTTTTCTGGGAACAGATCATTTTTATTGTCTATCCATCTTTGTGTATTTGTTTACAGCTCTTCAGGAGTGGTTAAATGCAATTAAGTCGTCAATCATTTTCGTATAAAAAGGTGAAAAACGGTTTATTGTTACCGTGTGAGGGAATCAGTCCAAGGTTTAACTTTTTTTCTTAAAAAATATTTCTCCACGAAACGTCTGATATTTAATACTGGGAATGTGTGCAGTCTACAGACAGTTATGTACATATAAATTTATATGAGAGGAAATAGTGTATTCTTTATTATTTGTGTGCCCTATGTGCAATACATACATACGAAACTAATCACTACTTTCTTCTGATTTCCTACCGGTAATTCTATTTTCCCTACAGAGTAGCATTATACTATTTTCGACTATTGTTATCTCTTTATGTGACTTCACTTTTTCATGTCCCATTCCATCTCCTGGTTGTTAGTTGACAAATGACGAGAATTTACATCTGATTTGAATTATCCTTCAAAGTACTCTCAGTCGATTAGCCAGATCTGAGAGTAAACCTATTTCCTACTAACTCCCTGCGTTTTCAACTATCTCATTGATAATATTAAACAAATATATATTGCTATTGTTTTCTTCTCATTTACTTCCTCTATCTACTACTGCTTGTGATCATAACATGAATGATGTATCACTTTGTATTCTAGTTGTTCTTAACTCTTACAAATCAGAACTTCCATGAACACATTTTCAAGAATTCCATAGCTAAGAAACTGTCAAGATTTATTAATATATATATATATATATATTACTCTTTCTTAAAATTACTATCACTAACCATTAATGATACACAAGCGAAAAGCCTTAGATTTTCATTCATTCAAAATGTTTAGTCTGTTTTTAAGCGTAGAAACATCTTTTTTTTAAATCAGCTATTTAATTGTGATGGAATATTGTTTGACTTACTTAATTCCATATACATTGAATTAGATCACTCTCATGGATTAAAATAGTTTAAAATTACTTTAGATTATGTTTTCATCTTTTATCATTTGTGTACTTATTAGGATCTGTTAAAATAATTTTTTTCTAAATAATAAATTTCCTTTCCATCAGTCTTTTTTCACTGTTCACAGAATAAAAAGTAAATCGATATTCTCTAGTGTATATTAAATAAATCCAATTTATTTCCTTTTTTAAAAGAAAAAAAATACTATTTGTAACATTTGTTTTATTTAAACTAGTGTATTGCCAATATTGAAACCTAAAAAAAGAAACTTTAGAAAGAGCATTTGTTTATACAGTTTGCTTTAATATAAGCGAATCATAATTTAGATATCAAGCATTCATTTTCATGTATACTATATTTTATGATTTACTGTTTTGACAGAGAAAAATATAAACAAATAGACAAATGAATATAGATTTCATAATTTGGTTTAATATTTTCTCTATTCAACATGTCACACTTTACAACTAATATAGTTATAAGAAATTTTTAAAAAATGTAAAGGCAATCATCATACAAATTATAGTGTTTTATCAATAAAGATTGTTGATGTTTACATTTATGCAAATTCTTGTCTTTACAAACTCAGAGTTTACCCTCGCATCACTTAAGCATATTGTTCTTCTGTTAAAGTCATTATATATTCGAAGATTTCTTTTAACATAAGGGGGATTTTAAATCCATTTATATCTCGTAAAGAAAAACTAATTTTGTTTACGGTCTATGTCATCGACTAGTCTAATAATCTGAAGGTCCTGACTATGAAAATAGTCTTAATGTGATCATGAGTCCTGTTTTTTTAAATAATCTTTCGAAAGTAAATGTATATAGTCCAATTATCTGGTAAATATTCTTACGTATGAATCATATTTGTTCACACATCTGTTTATGTAAACTATGGTTAATTGTTATGTGATAGTTTTATTAGTATAGATTAATCTATCATAGGAAGAGATCTTAATCGATAAATTCTCATGACAGATCCATCAAAAAAAAATAATTTAAACACAGATATTCCTAAGTAGTCAGTTATTGATACGTGTATTAGGTAGAATTTCACGTAGTAATAAGGAAAACTTGTTAACCCTATGTCGTAATTCACATTAAAATAAGTGTATTTCTTAGCTATCCGTTTGTCTTTTTTAAAGTCATGTTATTCAATAAAACCACTGACTAATACACATTTAGTTATAAGTAGTCTTTTAGGTATCCGCCTAAATTAGGCGTTTCTTGTTCATATCAATTAGTTCTCTCCCCTTTTCTGTCCCAGTCATGTGTTAATGAATTAAGAGTATTATGTTATCTGACTGAACTTGTAGTTTTTTTTAAAAATTACCACTATAATCTGCATAATAAGCATAACTAAAAAATAATAATTAACTTCTCTTTTTCTTTCCATAAACATTTAAGTATTAGATTGTTTACAGAGTTTTTATTTCATGTATGTTAATATTATGCTAATTTTATGTCTGGGATACATTACATAAATCTGTTTTACTTTCTTATACATCGTATATTATTGCGTTATTACTGCAATCGTAGTGATTAATTGTGAAAAGGGGGATTATAATTAGATAAATTCTCTCTCTCTCTCTCTCTCTCTCTATATATATATATATATATATATATATATATATATATATATATATATATATATATATCTTACGTTTATGTCGATTTATGTTACTTTGTTCTCGACATCTTACGTACTCTTGAATTACACTGTTAATTCAGTCTGAAGACAAAATCGACGTATCTTTCACGGATTCATCTCTTGACTTACATACATGTACATAATAGATTGTAAATTTATTTCTTATTGTAGATTTGGAGGTGCTGAATCTTATGGAGTAAATAGTTCGTGGAACCATTATTGTCTTTCTAGATAACATCATTCCAATAACTTGTATTATTGAAGTATATATGATACCTTTAAGTATCTCATTATAAGTACGCCCACTTATTCTTTACAGGGTATAACACTCAAGATTCATACTTAAAAGTCTCCTAAGAAGTTGTCATCATTTTTTGTCGACTTTTTATTACTTATAAATTATTTGTTACTGACTAACTTTCTGAACATTGTAAAAATACATGTTTATTTATTCATCCCGTTAAATTAGTTATTAGCTTATAAATTGTAGTTCAAATTACCGAGTACTTGCAAATTATGTAAAATAATAATCTGTTACGTCTTGAAAAAAGATCATTCTTACAAACACTATGATCTAAAATTTTTTTTGCTGTTGACCAAATTAACCGACTTTTCATTTCATTTCTATAATGTTTGATGTAGCTAATCAATGTGATTTGACTTGAATATATGCGTCGACTAATGTTCAGATGTGGATGGTTCAACTCTGTATCAAGAAGCCCTAAAACAAAGCTACTTTTATATTTTCATTTATTTTGGTTGTATTCATTTATCTTTTTGATTGATCTGGAATTACCAGTTCCCTCATGATCATACATGTAATCGACTGGAAGACCAGATCTTGTGACTAGCGTATACTTTCAGGCCACTAAGTTAGAATTCTAATAGGCAGTAACTCGGTTTTTGGACTAAACGAAAACAGCCATATCACATGCTGATTCGAGTTTATAATTTTAACCACTGTTTTCGTTCATTAATCTGAGATTACTATGTTAGTCGCGAATCCTGGGCTCGAATTCATGTAGAATTGTAAGTGCACACAACTAACAAGTCCCCAACTAGGTCGAAACTAGTGTTTGGTTTCCCTAGTTTTTTCATCATATCCTTTTATGGTGGAAATTTATTTCGCATGCGTTTGTTGTCCCTAAATATGAAGTTCAGTTTTAATCCATAATTAAGCAAATTTTGCAATTTTTTATTATAAAATGTTCTTTGTCATTTGAGAAAAAAGTAAATGACTTGTTTTTACCAATTAATTAACTAGTCATTTTCCCTTGTCTTCCCTCAATATTCTGAGATCCTAAGTTCCTCATAACTTTTTTGTTTTTATTTCACTAATCTATATTTTCTCGAGTAGAAACCTCATTATCTAATCTTTCCTATTACTACTGATACTGTTACTACTTCTACTATTCTGGGATTCGACCTGACAGTTTCATTTTTCTGTGTTAATGGAGTATAACAACTTAAACCCATGTACATACGTACCAGGCTCCATGTTGTGATTGACTGGATTTTAATCCGTATATCAGTTTGCATGATATTTATGCATAAGTGCATTATAGTTAATGCAGTAACAAATGTTTATTAATAAATAAATTAGAACGTTTCCTTAGCCCATATGTATACAATGTGTAATGTACACGTTTTTAATGGATTATAGATGCTACTTGAAAGGTATTTCAACTTCAAATTAGTATAATTTGGTTTCAATAAAATTACATTTTTACAGCAGATATAGTTTTCTTAGTTTATAAAATGCGTGTCTTATTTTAGTTTCAGAATAGTCTATGTTTTTGGTGAATAATTGTTTTATAATTAGCTAGTATACGTGTTAAACTTTAATTTACTCTTCTAATTTTATTTAATTTATCTTAAGAATGCATTCACTCAGAAGAAGTCATGAACAATATAACTCAAAGAATTTTTCACCTCATTTATCAACTTCCAGTCCTGTACCTGAAGATCTATTTAATGAATTAGATAAAGACGAAGATCGTGAAATTGTTGAGTCAATCGAAGCTGTTATGAAAGCAGCATCATATGATTCAAATAGTCCAAAAGAAACAAAACCAAAGCATCAAAATACAGAATGCAGTCCTTCCAACATTGCTTCATATCGTAACACTACTTTATTGATTGATGTTCCTGATGTACCTTGTCATTCAAAGGATTTCAAGCAGCAATATATGGATGGTTCAAGGTAATATTGCATTTTTATTTCTCCCCTAAAGTTATTATTACCTCTTTTGTCATACTATTTTAGGATCGATAACTATTTCATATATATGATGAATTCTTCCCTAGTTGTAAACTATTGGTATTACGAATTAAAGGTGTATTTTACACAAACTTCTGTGATGCTTATCTTCGGTAGTCATTTGTTCAAGTTTTCCCATTGACGGTAATATAAAAAGAAATTTGAACTATAGAGATTTGTTTTCCATATTGTGATCTCAAAAACAAAGTTTTCGACTACCAGTACGAGTACGAAATAAGTTGATGAGAAACAGGATATTAAACGGGAATGTTTAGTTAATTACTTTAGGGAACAGCTCGTTATATCTACAATTTAATTTCAGTTGTCTAACACTCAGCTTGCACTTAAATCGAACATTGATTCTGGTCACCTAGTGTTTTTTTAATTGAGATGATCGTGCAAAATTTGACACGGGATAAAGGTGCGTGATATTGTGGTTTTTCGTCCCAGTTATTTACTACTGCTTTCAGCTTGTGCGAATAGCATTTAATTATAATATTATTACTATTATATTTCCCGTGGTATTTCCAAACATTATTTTTCAGTCTAAGCTTTTGTTAATCAAATTAAATTCTTTATTTAGAAATTAGAAATTTAACAATCACACAAAAAGTCAGTTATAAATTCATATCTTTTGTGGAATATTTCAATAGTCTTTTTTAGAATGAACTCTTAGGTCAATTGTTGTCATTCTTTCATTTCTATATTTGATCTACATACTTTAAACATAATTTTATAAATGTTCTGTCTTCTTAACACTAAATACTTTTTTTGTTATAGTATCGATTAATATTTTAATATATAGTATACTTTGTCAACTATATTAGTTCTTATGTTAACTATATGGTTGTATTCATCGGTTTATTAGGAGTTCCCAACCTAGTGTTTACAAGCAAACTCAAAATAATACTAGATCAACAGAATTTCATGGAAATATACATGGCTCTTCTGAAAACTCTTATCTTCTTGGTAATATCGGCTCTCAGCCTCAACCACAGTATCCTTTTGAACAGCTTACTGAACTCAATCGAAATGATACCCAACAAGAAAAACCTCATTCATATACACCTGATATGAATTTTATTAGTTCTTCTTTACATAATCCACTGCAAGTTTTGGCCGATACAACATTTCAAGATACACATCGAAAGCAAATGTTTCCTTCAACCGTATCTAGCAATGTTCATGTTATGCCCACACCAGGAATGATAATGTCAACGTCATCACTTTCAACAGAGACTCCAACACCGACTGCTACTCCTACACCAACTCCTGAACAAACCTCTCAGTTTCAGGGATGTAATAAAAATGCTGGTGATAGTGATAATTCTTTGAATCAAGCGCCTTGGTTTCAAGCTATGCTACCCAGAGAAATAGCATTTGAATTGCTCGCTAAAGAAGAGGTATCGATTTTTTTCACGGTTAAAGATAATAAAGTATCATATTATTTAAAAATTAATAAGTATATTGAATAATATATATTTTATTTCCAACTAAATGTTTTAATGAACTACTTCATACCATTAGCTCCCTTTGAATAAAGCCAAAACATTCATGAAGCCTGAATAGTATGAATTCATTATATTTCGTAATAGATTTTAGTGACCGAAAGAATTCGAATAACGACGACTGTCGGTAATAACCAGATATACATGCATAATTTGTCTTGATACAAAATGTATATGCACACAATCATTTGTACCTACGTAATATTGTAAGGTTAACTGTATGTTTACTTGTATAGAGTTAAAGAACACATTCACACACCTGTTTGATCCATTCTCCCTTGTTCTAAAACCATTGATTAATTTGTTTAATAGTTTATACATTAACTACGATATTCTGTAAATTTGTGTAGTCTCAACTGAAGAGATGTTACTGTTTATGTTTGTTCGTAAATTCATTGTAGACTAACTAAGAACAATGACTTCCTTTTAATAAATGGAAAGGTGACTACTTAACAGAATAGCTTTGTGGAATAAAAAATAATTCCTTCTAACTGAGATATATTGGTACAAGTAAACTTTTTTGATGAACTATAGTAGACTGATGTTATTATCTGATACAGTGAAAAAATGGATATCTCCCTATTTCGTTTACTGGTATATGTATTTTGCTTTAATGTATCTCTTGGTTTTTTATTTGTATTAGGTTTTATTCTTTAAGAAAGTAGAAATAAACTAATGTGACATTTAATTCCTTTGATTTTCATCCTAATGAGTTTTTTCTTCCTTTTCAGGTTGGCAGCTTTTTAGTTCGCAACAGCGCTACTCATCCTGGTTGTTGTGCTTTATCTGTTCGAGTGCCAAATAAAGATAATCCGATAGGAATAACCCATTACTTGATACAAAAAACGAATCGAGGCGTTCGGTTAAAGGTCAGATATTTTTTTCCCTATGTATATCTTGATTGTTCATATTTTTTCGGTAGCATTGATACTTTTTAAAACATTGTTTTTCTATGAATGTCCCCCTTTACTAGCTGTTTGTTAATTCATATTAGCGTTTCCTCCAGGAATAAAACCCACTTCTATTACAAGTGATGAATTATTAGTAGTCAGTTTTCTTAATAATGTGATTCAATGAACATACATGATAATAAGTATTGGTTGAGTATATTTGGAAGATTCACTGTCTTTCGAATGTTTTTCACACTTTCGGGTAGCAATACAATTTTCCATATTTTGTCAGTGATCCTTTCAACTGTTATTATAAGAGTGGCTGTATTTTGAAATACTAGACGAAAAACCGTGTAACATTTATTCAGTCTAATTATTTAAGGAAATCTTGAAATGTATCCACATTGCATATAACTTCTGGTTGTACTTCTTTAGAACCAAAAGATCAATAGCATCTCTTAATGTATATATTAATGAGTTGAAATTGTCTGAAATTAGGAATCAGTGTTAACCTAAGAAAATATAGTCGTTTAACCAAGGGGCTAATTAAAGATTAATATGTGGTGAATCTTGAACTATTTTAAAGTATTTAATTAGCGTCTTTCATATTTGAGTCTATCTTACCGAAATAGTTTACACTTAAGTAGTGTGACAAACTTTTAACCTCATTGCAATTTATACATGTGAGTCTAATCGGTAATGTTTGAGTTTCTTATGTTGTATGTAGTTATCAAGTTTTACATCTTTGACGTCAACTACCTGTGATGAGAGCAAATACTACTTACATTAATCAATTCAATTTGAATACGATTCTGAATAATTAATGAAGCATAGAATGATAAAAATAAACAAGATAGGTTGTTTCAGTGAAAAGATCTGTTTTCGGTAAATTTGCTCAGTAAATTCCTTCCGTTTATTTAGGAAAAAAGTTATACTATAACGTAATAGTTACTTGTTAGTAATATAGTTAGTTAACATAACATAAATATCGTACAGGGTTTCGCCTTTTGTTTCATAGTCTAACTGTTCCTTAGAGTAACGTCTGGATTATTTTCAATCATTTTCGTTAATTTAATTTTAAGAGTAGTCTTTAAATTATATTTATATTAATAACTGAATGGTGCAACTAATTTTGCCCAGGGAATTTTTATTAATATATTGCTTAGATTTATTTTAATCACTTTTATCAGTGATAGTATTATATATGAATATATGTGTCAGGTTCTACGTTGCATATGGCTGACTAACTAAGAATTTGTTCATGATTTCAAGAATCCCTGATATCTGAAAATTTTGGTGTTGCTGATTACACAATGAATTTATTATATCCATTTGTTATACATATATTTTTCACTTTATAACTCAATTACATAAAGAAATCATATTTTCAATACTTAAATTCATTCATGATAATAAAAGTTTTATGCATGTACCCGTAACTTTATAAAAATTTTTTATTGAGATAATCCTAAGCTGATCATTTTGTATGGTGTATTCTTACATCGATATCTAGTTTAAGCATTTGGTTTAAAATATGCTTGTCTCTATTTTGTAGCGTTAGATTTATTCATAAGCTTACATTAATAAATGTATAGAGCTTACTTTTATTTAAAATTTATCTTTAAAAGGGTTTGGACAAGGAGTGGCCATCCCTACAAGCTCTTGTTACTCATTTGACTGTCATTCCAGAGATGCTTCCATGCCCTCTCAAGCTTCCACAATATACTGCTAATCCAGTCTTTACACAGTTTGATCTGCAATTGACAAATGGCCCATCAAACGAAATTCCCAAGCAACATCGTAACTATAGCATCAAATCATCACAAACAGAAGTGGATGAAAGTAATCGTGTCACTAATTCAGACTTATCTAGTCACCATCCCCAGCGTACACTTCATTCAGTTGCAGATCTTCCTTGTAGACCAGTCCTACCATCATGTGCTACTATTTCTCATTTCAGCCCTGCTAATCCTTTGGATCAAAACTTATCATCCCACAACATGATAGCAAATGATCCACCTGTACTTGGCAGTTATCAAGTATCAAATTTATCACAATGCAAATCACAAATACCTAATTGGTTAATGAATCAATTGAATAATGATAATAATCATTCGTCAACTAAAAATTCAGCAGACAGTTCAAATCAAATATCATTGAAAGCAGATTCTATCCATTGGAAGCAAAACTCCGTAGATTTAGCATGTATTTCTCAGTCTGAGTACATAGATGAACAACGGTTTATGAATGAAACTAATAACAGAAATAATCGAAAATTAAGTTATACAACAAATGATTTATCAAAAAATAATGCTTGTTTATTGCTAGATTACGCTGAAGAAGATGAAGATTATCAACGTTTGTCCGATTTTTCTTCCATATTGGCTGATTTAAATATTGTGCATGAAAGACCTTTGACTAGTTGTTAGTGGGATTTTTTCCAAACGTACTACTTACATTATACTATTTGTTAATATCTATTCTGCATTAAATTCATTTCAGCCACATCATCCATATCCTATCATAGCTACTTTCATAGTTCATAATCTGTATAGTGAAGAAGTAAAATGGTCTATTTACAATATAACTTTATTTATTTATTTCTCTTTGACTCACTGAATTAAAATGTTTGGTAGTGATTTTTTACTATGTACAATGTTTCAAACTACCATCACCATAATTCTTAATAAGCTCTCATGAAATCGTATCTCTTTTTACATGAATACAATATTAATTTGTTTTTCTCCTATCTTTCACTTGTCTTATTTGCCATTCCTAATGGTTGTTATTACATGAATGTCAGGTTAGGTTACTTAAATTATTTTGCTACCTCTGTTGGACAATATTCTATAATTGGTTTCTTATTGCTGTTTTCACTGTGTAATATATAAACTGGGAGACTTATTTGCCATTCGTCTTAGTTAGATCTTTGCCTACATATAATATATACTACCACGAGCATATACTTCTACAAATATATCATGTTCTAGTTCTTATCATTATTACAATGCATAAAAGAGATTTTCTAATTTGGCCTTCTTTATTTGTATGCAAGTCTTTTGTTTTCGTTTCGTTTTTTTGCTTACTTCTCTGTTGTCACTTCAGATCATACAAAAACTCATTATGAGACAATGACAAAATGAGATTCTTCAAAAATATATATAAACACCAAATCTCTTTGTTTTTTGACAAGATTTTACCTTGGTAACGGTAGTTACAATTGTATACAACTTAGATTTCGGATAACACGTTACGTGAAACTAAACTGGGGACATCGACCACTGTAATTTGGTTTACTGAATTAAGGCTAATGTTGTCCTCTTTATGCGACCAAAACAATATATCGCTCCACAGTTTAAAGGAAGCGCATGGTCAAATAAAATGTCCCCTCTGTGTAGGAAAATTAAGTCTTTAAATCCTCTAGTTGGACGTCACAATGTTGGTAATAAGACAGTGTACTAACAGAAGTTCTCAGTATTTGCTTTTATTGGTCGACCTGCATTTATAAACAAGTCTTTTAACGTATGAACTTCGATTTATTGAAATATGGATCTCAGCTAGCAAGCGCAAGTCTAAAGTCGGTATCGCATATTACGACAAACTGAATGGTTCCTGTTCACAACTAACCAGTGAAACGCTTCAAATTTGCTCCCTCCTCAAATGACAGTTAATCTTGATGCATCTCAATATCTTAATTAGAAATATTTCATACACACCTTCCTTTAATAAAAGTCTCCTTGCCTCTGACATATATCATTTGCAGGTAAAATTACAACATTCTACAGAGTTGATATTAACAAATATGCAAAGGATAAAAACGAAAAAAATTGTAACGGCTGTTAAATCAATTCTTACCTAAGTTTTGGGATAGGAATCGACATCATATTATACTCAGAAAGATCCTCTGCGGGTAATCCTTGATGCTACCAGTAAGCTATAAGGCACAGGGTTTGTTAGGATTCTGATTGCAGTGACATATATTAACTGGATATAGTTGTTTATCTCACAAACTTGCCACTCTTCATATTCAACTGAGTTATAAGTTCCCTTTATATAAGAGATGCTACGATAAAGTAAAAAACAGCCGCATGGGAGGGAGTTTTTTGAAGATGGTCTTATCGATTCAGTAATGATATTACACACGATTAAGAATTGTGCTACAGCTTTAGTAGCCATTAAACGGAGAGCGCACTGACATTTAAGGATGTAGATTTTATCAACAGTCAAATACGCGCCGGACCGTTGTCACTTATGGTACAGATTAACGTACATCTATTACTTTTGCTATGCGAGCATGTTTCATATCCGTCCTTTCAGGACGGATGATTCGATCGCGTGGAAACTCGGTCAGAGTAATGTGCCAATGTGATTACTAGGTCAGTCATACGAAATGTATAATTCGGGACATATATACATGGGTTTAATTTATTACATTGCATCAGCACATTGAGGTGAAATTACAAAGATAGTAGTATTGATAACAGTACCAGTGGTAATAAGGACCAGGCTTAGATAGTGATTCGAGAAAAAACGCGAAAGATTGGTCGGGTTCAAGGTTGATTTCGGAAATGGAAGACTAGGAAATTGCTTTCTTCTATTGCTCTCGGGTTATTCGCTAACAAGTTCGATTCAATGAATCAGACCCTCTACACTATTAAGTTGGGATTTTCCATCATTAATGCACCAATACTTCAGGATTTAAATGAAGTATGCAAGCAGTGATCATATACTTCATTGATGGGTAGGCTAACGCTCCAATACTTTTAGGAATTATGTTGAACCTACCAAATAATCACTTTAATTAATATCTCATCAACGTTACTGAGTGTTAGGATCTTGCATTAACCTCTTTATAACTAGATTACTAGGAGCTCACATTTACAGAGCTGATTTTTATATACGATGTCTTAGGACGAATTCGGTTGAAATAATAGTATTTCGACTAAAATGATTCACCTAGTTTCAAAGACTTGTGTTTTCTATTCACATAGATTTCTCAGCACCCATAACCCTAACGCGACTGATTCTAACTACCTCTCACCATAAATATGACTATAGCTTCAAATACAGTATGATTATTTACTTCAGAGACGCTACAACCCCATGCATAAACCTTAAAGACTCGTAATCGTCATTTTTCTTTTCATTCGTTAAAACCATCTGATCGGTGTCAACTGAGTTCATTTTATTCATACCTTAAATTATAAGGGACTTTCTTACTTTTTAATCAAGGTAGGCGATAATTGTAAGTGTAATATATAGCTCCTGAGAAGTATGGGATTTTTAATACAGAGGTAACAGGGGCTGTAACAAGTACACGTCATATGCTAACCTCTGCCTATATTAGATTATAAATAAATGCCTATAAATAATCACGGCCCAATGATGCGGTCATCCACTGGATACATATTCTTGGCCTTATTTTTTTTAACACACAGGGTATTGGTACAAGGAGGCACCAAATACATATGCGCCACACAAATCTCAATTGATTTGTGTGAGGGCTGTGATACTGCCCGGGTGCCCAAACCGAAGCAGACTTGGCCTTATTAGAAACTAAACAAGTGAAGGCAAAAGTTACACTATGTACGATAAGAGAAAATTATAACCACCTTCTGAATAGTATAGTATTTGGAGATTTACTAAGACGATTTTTGGCAAGATAACAGCCAGTTATTATTTAAAAGCTGCTACTATATGCATTTACCCATGCAGACTACATGTAAGGACACCTGGAAATTTTTAGTTAAGCATCTGTCATAGGATCCTATGGTATACAATGGCTTCACTAACCCAATACATGAATCCCAATATACCACAGTAGCTAAATACAGTCCCACTTATAACCCTTTTACTTAATCCTGTTTAACTAAAAACTGGAACATATTGCTAACGTGAACAGACCCAACCGAACTATTAAATGCACTACGCGGATTTAAATCACATACTTATTTCATAAACGGTAGGGACCATACATTCACAAAATATGAGATGTAGAGAAAGTAACTAACTGTTGAAATGAAAGCGAATCCCTTTAATGCACCAAAAGCCGACCATCAATTTTTTCAACTGCATACTTTAATAGTAAAGTATCACTCTTCTCCTACATCCGTCTGACGCATTATAAACTATATTTTTGAATACGAAAACACGAAGCCAAAACAATTTTAGAAGTCATTCTAATACCAAAAATGCATAGGGTAAGAAGACTCAATAAACAAATAAAATCTAAGTAACGTATGTCGTTGAAGTAGAAATCAGTTGCGTAAGACAATGTTAGTAAAAAAACTTTGTATAAAATACAACAGTAAAACTAAACGAGTAATATGATGTGAAATTTGGATGATCCACATTGTTACTGCTTTTGTGCAAATAAGAAGTCAATGCTCAAAAAAACCTGTTGGGTAAGTTAAAGTTTTGATAATACTGTTTTAGTTCATTTGAATCTAATTAGTTTCAACCTTTCCATATGGTCTTCTTATTCGGAACTATCATCGGTGTGGAACAGAAAGGCACCAAGGTGTTAAATACCCTGTTTGAATATTACATTCTTATAACATCTTCAAGACTTACACTCATCTTTGGGTGTACCATTCTCCCCTTCATGTTAAACTGAAGCTAACATAGTGAAACATATATCGAAGATGTGAAATTTAATAATGTGCGGTCACAAAAGACGGATTCTTAAAAATATTTTATTTTCTGGAACCTAACATGAATTCGTTGAAAGATTATTTTTAAAAATCATCCAAAAATTCAAGACTTGACTAATAAAACAATAATACAACTAGGTAACTGACTTCAAATAAAACTGTTAGGGCATAAATTACAATGAAGACCATAATTTACACTAGTATGTACAAAAGTAACCCAATCGATTACCAATAAACATATTTAAGAGTAGTTACTGAAAGCTTTTGTAGGTTATGCATTTTGTATGGAGAATGGAAAGACTAGAAATGAATGTGAGCATTTGAAGATGATCAATAAAATCGCCCTAACAACAAAATGCTGATGCAAGCATCGAAAGACAAAGGTGAGCTGGAACTAAGTTTAGGAACGTAAATGGATTTCGATATTTCTGTTGATATGCATTAGTATCATCAGATGTATCTTCACAATTCTGTTTCAAAAGATAGCCAATCTCGTAATTTAGGAGGTTGTGACATTGATCTGTGTGTATGTTTAGGATGTTCACCTTTCTTTATCAATGTACCAGCGTCTTTTAACGTTGAATTACTGAATACAAGTGGATGTTGGAAAGTATTTCGGTTAAGGTATCGCCCATGGGCCTCGTTGGATATAATCTGATAAGTGGATTGTGAAGCCATAGGTAGACGTGATCCTAGCATTCCAGAGAAAAAAAGTGAATTTGACTCCATTTTGGATGATCTAAAATCGTTAGATGGAAATTGCAAACTGCTTTGTCTTGGAATTGGATGAGTATTTAACCGTTGACACATTCTTCCTGAAAGAATAGGTGATATGTTGCTTGTGGGTAGAGAGTTACTAACCAATGAATTGGAAGTTGAATTAGTAAGATAAGATGGCGAATTTCTACCAAGAGTACTTGTATTTTCTTTGGCTACCCATGATGTATTAGATGGTTTATTTAGATTATTTGCATCGAGTTGATTGTCATAATAATAATAGAAATAATGATGATGATATTGTTGTGGAGACGTATTTTTCCCTAAAATGGTCCCATGGTTCGTGTTCAATATGGATGAGGTAGCATTTGGAATTACTGGCGAGCGCATACGAGTGGTATTATCGTGTACACATATTGAAGAATTTTGATCGACTTGAAGATTTCTTATAATTTGTGGCGGTTTGACTGACCATCTTTGAGCGGGAGAGCGTTGCAACTGAGCACCAACAGAAGAGGAACGTGATTGGCCAACTACTTTCCGTTTGTTTATATTGGGACGACCACAGATGAATTCCATCTTTGAAGAGCAAAAACTTTTACCTTTTTGTTCGGAATCATTATTTAAAGGGGTATGCTTTTCATGTTTCGTGCTGGCACATAAATCAACTCCTTTATTCGAGTTGGGTTCAAATTTTTCAATGAGTGACGTTAGTTGATTATGAACAGAATTTTCCGTAACAGGTTGAGATGTAGGTATATGAGTTGTTCTAGATGATAAGGATAACGTACTCCACTGATCAGAACCACTTATTGAATGCACAGAGGAGACTTGACAACTAGGATTAGAAAATGAATCTGACACGGTGGGACGGATTGACAAATTAGATCGACTAACATTGTTTTCCGAAATATTGTTCAAACATTTATTGTGTTGATTGACTCTGAGAGTGTACGAAGGTTTGGCACGCTGAATTGCTGGTAAAGGAGGGATCCCATTAATACTTCTGTTGGACAATAGCATATCAAGAACTTGGGTGGAACTTGGTGGACGACTATCACTCCCAAGAGATCCAGGAGAACTATCAGAACCTGCAGATCCGTAACCTGAAGAGCCCTGGGAGAGGAACTTATTGGACTTTCCCTCTAGTAGGTAAGTAAAATTTTCTGAACTCTGATCAACTATTGTATTTCGGGTCTTAAAAAAATGAGGATTTTGACCAACAGAAAACTGTTCACTAATTGTAAATGATGAGAGTTGAGGGGAAATATTTTCATTAACAAAATGGTCAGAAGTTACTGAAGATTTATGAATAGTAAACTGTGTTTGCTCGTTAGAATCAGAATTTACTTTAGGTGCTGCAACTAGTGTAACGTCTACCTCAGTTTGATTACTTACATTTTCCCATGATGCTTTTTTTGAATCAGAAGAGTCATCAAGAGAGATATTACTCACACCCCCGGAAATATCTGGACTAAGAGTGGTCACTGATTCGGGAGATTCAACTGTGCCAGTCGAATAATCCATAGAGGATGTGATGCTTGTAGGAGTTTTGCAATCCCAATTATTGGTCTTCGTTTCATCTAAACACTGTAAGTGTGGTAATGGTAATCCCTTAAGCCACTCTAGTACATCATGAGGTTCCTTGTTGTGCCGAACAAAAAATCCAGTACTCATTAATGAGCGATATTTTGGACGCTGAGTGTGGTCCTTTGTTAAGCTAAAAATGAAAAAGAGGATAATACAGTAAATCCCAAACAAATCAAACAGACTAATCAAAGAGTCAACCAAATGCTTACTTTTCCATTTTTACAAGGATGGAAACAGAAATTCTATTGAGCCGGTCAAAAATTTGAGCAAGAAGAGATCTACTTACCTCTTATTTATTTTAACACATAAATATCGGCACAAGGAAGCACCAAATACATATGCGCCACACAGATCCCATTTGATATGTGTGGGGGCTGTGATACTGCTCGGGTGCCCAAACCGAAGCAGGTAGTTATCTTAGGGGGCCAAACCTCGAGCCTTCGACCTGAACATCTGATCCACAAGGCAGTGGAGCATCGTGAGGAGATGCAGTTTCATGGTAACCGGTGACCAACGATTGGTTCATACGCCATTTGTTCCCTCAAGATACTGGAGCCCATGTACACCATTGGTTAGGGATCCGGTTAAAGCGCCGGAAATTCGCTTTTCGTCCTCTCATTTTCGTAAACAACACCCCCGCGACGAGAAGGCAGTGAGTAGGACTTCCCTGGCAGAGGCTGTATACGCGTGGCCATGTGAGAGCATTTCGAGAGGGAGAGTGGACTCTCCCCACTCTCGGTCGTACCAGGGCACTTGGGGCTGCTTACCTCTAATTTGTTCTGCTAATACCGACTATATTTTTGACGTGAAATATATCACGCATAAAAGTTAACGAATGAGATACCAAGGTTATTCAACAAACCTACACCTTACAGCCAACAATGGTCTTCTCATTGTCCTTCTTTAGAGCAGAAACAAGACTTTTGCCGTCTAAAGCATACGAGCGCACATACACAGGTTGATTACATATGTTTGCTTTAGTGAAGTGATGCAGTGAATAATAAGGTACACACTAAGTAGAGACACAGTCAAAATTAACAAAGCTTGGCACAGATGTGAACCAACCCCACTTCTTACACATTTGCAAATCGAGATGAAATTAACAAGATGAATAATGGCATCAATGACAGCGACTGAAAATTTTGTAATATAGCTCGAAGAGGGGATGAATTAGAGGAATAAAAAGTAGGAAATAATATTGGTGCTCAAGAATTAAGCGTGAATGTATCCCTACCACTGTGATCGATTCAGTGATACTACTCATCTCAAACCACTGATTGTGACTATCGCGTGTGTTCCATTTTTTTCTTGTGTGCTCACTCTATCATACATCATGTAGTAAGAAATAAAATAATTATTTGAATTTAATCATCAGCATTTATAGATTTTTACAAGTCGAAACAGTTCAAATTGACTAATTATTCCAACAAAACCACTTACATAGCTAGCTAACGTAGCTACTAAATCTTCAGTTTTTTGTGTCTAACACTGTAGCGCGAAAATAATTAGAATTTACTTTCGTACATCCAAACTTACACTGAAATTTTTGAAGACAAAAATTACAATTAACTCTCAAAACAGATTTATCGTCGTATATCATATCCAAATAAAGGACCGGCAATACAAATGGAGATAGAAATAGAATCATAAGTACTTTCCGTATAAAATTGGTCTAGAATTGAGGTGAGTGTATAGTGTCTAACTCGAATAGAATTAGTTTGATTACAAAATCCTTTAAAACTTGAATCGAAAATGCCTTTCGGTAAACACAAAATACTAGACCATGGGATTTATCTGCTGTACCATAGCTAACATGACTCACCTTTTTGAAATCATACAGATAAGATGACAAAGGATAAACAGATAAGATACTTAGCAAAATATGTAAAAATAAGAGATGATCAAGACTACAACAATAAACGAAAAGTAACAGACTTACCATAACTCGACGAATTGACGGAATGCAGGGGTAAAAGGTATGTGGTGAGGTAACGTTGGAGGTGGATCTGATATAATTTTAGTCATAATAGCAAACTCAATATGAGTCCCAGTGTATGGAAAAGATCCGGTTGCCAATTCCAACAATGATATTCCAAGTGACCAAATGTCTGCACGAACATCATATGTTGAGTTGTTAAGACGTTCTGGAGCCATATAACCAGTGCATCCCGGCTGCCGTGAACGGGCAATAGAATCCTTAAGAATTCCACTTATTCCAAAGTCACATAACTTTATGACACCTTGGTAACTCAAGAGCATATTAGATGGTTTAACGTCTGGAACTTATTAAAATTAGAGCATTACCTCTATGCATAACGTTATGTTTCCGTTTCAAATAGTCCAAAGCAGTGGTAATCTTTAAAATAAGATAAAGTAAACTGAAACGAACTTACAGCAACCGTCACTTTCCCCAAAACCTTTTCAGGAAATGGACGATGAAGATCATGATACAGCTTATCTAAGCAGGTTGACATGACTTCCATGCATATCCAAACATCACCCTGAAGCGTAAAAATGGTAAGATAAACTCACTCCGGAGAAGAATATTCCATAGCACTCAACGATGTAAGAGCAATCGAAACATTTTGTAACAATATTTAGATCCATCATAATACGTTTATTTTCCTCTTCATACGTAGATGACACACGCATTTGCTTAACTGCCATTACTATATTAGGCTTGGTACGATGTCGCATTTTGTACACAGAGCTACACGTACCAGAACCTAGACAGCCCTCATTCGCGAAATCATCTGTTTTAGCGAATAAAACCTAAAGCAACAATAACAAAAACACTGATTACCTTGTTTCCAAAGAGTAGGACGCCACTCCTTTTGGCAATTTGTTTTTGCAAGGATTCAAAATCATATCTATGCTGGGTGAGATTTAACGACGCTACAAACCTATCGTTTTTTTTATTAGTGTTAACGGAAGCATCTTGCTGTCGACTTTTTGAATGAGTTGCAGGAGATTCAGAACGTTGTCTTTCACACAACACTACACAGAATGCATAATTAATGAAGTATAGAAAATACAGGCTGTTGGACGCTGGAATCGGGCCACATTTCTACGTGGGGAACCGACCGATGTTGAATTGCAAATATCATATCGCGATCCATTCTCAGAAGTGACCAGAAACTGCGAGGCCGAACAACCAACCGAGAGTTCATTTGACATAGGTAGACTACTGCGCCATAAAATATTTAGCCGTTGATGGGTTTAAACAACATTGATCATATCAGAAGTATTTTATGAAATAGATTACAGGCATTACGCCTACAAAAAAGATCATGTGTCTATCTGTGAGTTGCTGCACCGATGAATTCAAGTGATATAAAACAATAACACGCAAATTATGCAGGCAATCATCACCACAGATATATTCAGATTTGTATAGTAAGGACAGAAGGCCTACGGCCTATATTGTTCCTTTCCCAGTATGCTTCTGCGAGTGTCCAGACTTCTCTTGAAAGATTCAATTGAAGGTGCGAACACCACTGCTTTGGGCAGCAGGTTCCAAGTATTGATGACTCGGTGTGAGAACCTGTATGCCACGGGTATTTTGTTCGTTCTTGGCTTTTCTACTGTCCTGTTATGTCCTCTGAGGTGTCCCTGTCTAGCGGGAAGAAAAAAGAGAGTAAGTTAGGTCCAAAATCATTTCTCAGTATTCTGTACATCAAAATTAGATCTCCCCTTAATCTGCGATATGACAGGGTGCCCTCTGTACTTCTTCTAGGATATCCGAATCACCTTTTAAACAGGAGCTTGCAACCTGAACTCAGTTCTCAAGCTTAGTTCTCACTAAGGACGTGTATACTTAGATGAACATGGTAGTATCTAGTTTAATGAATGTCCGTTTTAATGCCCAGAGGTTTCGAAACCCCTTAGCTGCGGCCCCCCCGTCAATGGGTCGTTGTCTTAAGATCCTGACTTACTGTCACGACTCGATCCTTATGAGACCAAACCACTGGTAATTGCACTTTCCTATGTTATACCCATTAAAATTTGAGTCCCCGAAGTGCATGTAGACACACTTTGCCGCGTTGATAGGCATCAATCACTCTTTAGACCAGTTACTTATATTATTTAGGTCTGCCTGAAGAGCATATAAGTCTCTCTCCGGTTATTGATAGCCAGATCTTTAAATCGTCAGCGTATAATAACATTGGAGACTGTACTGTACATGGAAGATCATTGACATACATTATGAAAAATAAAGGACCTAGGACGGAACCTTGAGGTACTCCATCAAGTACTGGTTACCAGATGGAGCACTAGGAATTTATTCTTACCTTCAGTCTACGACATACTAGGAAATCCATGATCCATTTTAAAAGAGGTTCAGAGATGCCAAGCTTTTCCAACTTCAATAGCAGTCTATTTGTTGGCACCTTGTCAAGAGCCTTACTGAAGCCTATGTAGACAACATCCACTGAGTTTCCGTTGTCTAGCACCTTTATCCAACATTCCCTTGCTATAAGGAGGTTTGTTATACAGGATAGACCCTTTCTAAAACCATGTTGTTCTACGTTTAACAAGTTATTTGTTTCAATAAATTCCTTTATGGTCCGTTTGACTATTCTTTCCAATATTTTAACTACAACACTGGTGAAGCTTACAGGTCTGTAGTTCGACGGAACTTGTCTTGGTCCTGTTTTATGCATGTGTGTGACGATTGCGTCTTTCCAAACCATAGGAAACACACCCTGATTAAGTAACATATTGAATATCACAGTCAGTGGGGCCGCAATATATTGTGCAATATGTCTCAAGATTTTAGGGTGTAGTTCATCTGGTCCTGTTAACTTTTCCATGTTTAAGACGCTAAGAGCCTTAAGCACATCGTCTTGATCGAAGTCCACGGTGAGCAGGTGTTTTATTGACTCTTTAATTTGGTCTGGTTCTTTGTCCAAAGGAGGTTCCTGAGTGAAAACTGCTCCGAAATAGTCAGCCATAGCCTCTGCTTTGTCCTGATCTTCCTCTATCATTTCAGATTCACTCCCTTCTTTAATTAGATTTGGAATCCAATGATGCATCCTTGTTCTGTAGTTTATGTACGAGAATATTCTCTTAGGCTGCTTGAGTGCTGATTGTGCCAACTGCATTTCATATTTTCTTTGAGCTTCTCGAATTTTTGTTATACATTCGTTTCTTACCGATCTGTGGTGTTCCATCGTACCTGCTGTGCCAAGGCGGATGGCGACATCCCAACATTTCTTCTTTTGTCTTATTAAACGTCGAATATCCCTGCCTATCCAGGGATGTCCGTGTTTCTTCTTCTTTGGGACTGTCCATGGTATGTATGGTTGAGTTACCCGGTTGTATAACTGCCTGAAATACGTCCATGCCTCTTGTACTGATGCCCTTGAGTCAATTTCCCAGTTTTCAGCCGATGCTGCGGAGTTGATGGCCTCCATATCTGCCTTCCATATGTTAGGACGGGCTGGCGCAACTGTTTGACAGGCAATCTCAGCCACGAATTTGAATAAGATGACTGCATGGTCACTTTTCCCTAGTGATGGGAGGAAAGTCATTTGACCAACGTCATCACCGTGTGTGAAGACTAAATCTAAAAGAAAAGAGTTTCTTAAGTCATATCCTGTGGGAGTTCTAATGTGTTGGAACAAAGCTAATGCAATCGATGTTTCTAAAAGTTTGCAATCGAACGACGTTATTGATAACCCTACTTCTAAGTTAACCCAGTTTATATACGGTGCGTTAAAGTCGCCTACTACAAGGCTTTTACCCTTGTTACACCAGGACGTAAGTTTACTTAGGAGAAAATCATCTACCACGCATTCTGGGCTGCGATATACTACAACTAATTCAATATCTTGCCGTCTAAATTTCAACATACATCGCACCAATTCACATGTCCCTGAAACATGTGCTACTGTCTCAGCTACTCATATGGTTAGGGTGCTTTTCGTGTACAGGACAACCCCGCCTCCCCTACGATTTAATCTATCAGCCCTATTGAATAAAAAACCAGACAAGTGAATTTCATTATCTAATACTTCAGGCGTTAACCAAGTTTCTGAGACAGCAATAACATCCAGTTTTTCTTTATCCACCGTTGACTTGAGCTCCGCCATTTTATTTAGTAGGCTGAGAGCATTTTTGTAACATACCTTTAAGTCTATGGATAACTTTCCCTTACCACACAGAGTGGTTTGGGGATCGTTTTGCTCCGAACTTTTACAATTTGAAAACCCTTAAGAACGAGGTTTCTTTCGCCGTTTTGGCGACGCTCATTTATTTCCACTTCTGCAGCTCGTCTCTTAATACGATCAGCTAGGCTGAGATCCTCACGGACATATATTCCGGATCCAATCAGTTTACGTGAGTTACCTAAAATCAGGTTCCTTTCTTCAACCGTGGCAAATGTAACCTTCAAGAGACGGTTTTTCTGAGGGCTTTCAGAGTCCACCTTTCGTCCTATTCTATAAAGCTTACAAATGCTAACTCCTGAAATGGTATCTGGGAGTAGTTTGCTTATTAAAGACTTAATGTGACTGAAGTCGTGTTCAAATCTAGCCTTTGGTTCCTAATCGGAAGATTCTCTTGACTTATGAAAAATGGCTGACCTCTCAGAGAGATCTGTCTCGACACTCAGTGAAATTTTTGTTTCTGATACCGTCTCTTCCAATGACTTGCCAACCACCTGCGGTTTGCCTACAGCTCTTTTCCTCTCACTTCTTTTTCTCCGTGCTGAAGTCCATTTATCCTCACTCAGGACAGCCACACTGGGACTATTTGGAACGATGACAGTGTTATCCGGGTCTTCAATTTCCACCAGAGGTGTATGGTTTCCAATGTCAGTATCAAGCGGCACTTCACTTCATGTTAATTTTAACGGTGTTTTTACTATTCCATCAATCACAATCGGGTGTTTAACGGGTCCGGTAGCACCACTTACTACACTGACACATTTTTCACTGTCAGTGCTCGTGGTGTCTGGACAACCGCCATCCTTTTTGCTACAGGCCAAAGCCTCCTGAATTAGTAACTTTTTACTTGTACAGCAAAACATAGAAAGCCAATGCGAGTTTGGCTTCGAGCATCTTTTGTAGGCCGTAGGACTTAGAAGTGTACACATCTTATGGTACCACTTTTTACATTCACCGCACTGCATTCCTTCCTCAACGGGGAAAAAGCAGTTTGGTTGACCACATTTATAAGTCTTACTAACCATTGTAATTTGATTTAAAAAGTTTAAAACACACTATGATCACAACGTGAAACACGAGTGTCAGTCAATGAGTAAGCAAGAAAGGTACCACTGGACGAAGTTTAGCGAAAATTTCAGACATTAACCAAAGTACTTTTAGTTAAAGTAGACCAGGAATGCTTTATGTTGCAAATAGTACACAAGGCAATGATAATCACAACCAGTACAAAAATCACTCCCCTTTTTGAAACGAGCGTGTGGTTCAAATGGTTGTGGACGGAATAGAAGAAGCTTTCGCTTAATAGGCTTCCATGTCTAGTAGCAAGGGATCACCAACACCTCCAGGCAAGAACCAAAGTATATTAACGGTAAAAGAGAAAAAAGAAATTGGTTAACCATAGTAAGATACTATCCTTAGTCCCTAAGAAAAGATCAAGTCGCCTCTGAAAGGACTCCTGGGAAGTCGCTTGTACTAGCTCGGCCGGCAGCATTTGACAACTCTTAATCAGTAGAAGTTGTGCCTGCAGTCTGTTCTACCATGTTGTATCTCCAATTTCTGGGTGTTACCCCTTAGGTTAGTATTGGGACTAAGCTTAAGTAGGTGTTTAAGAGGATTTCCAGGAGTGTTAAGGATACTGTAAGCCATTATAAGGTCACCTCCAAGACGCCTATACTCTAATGGGTATATGTCGAGTGATTGGAGGCGCTCTTCGTGCGGTTTAAATTTGAGTCCCCGAACTGATTTCGTGGCTCGCCGTTGGATACGCTCCAGAGTGTCCTTATCCTTTTGGAGTGTAAGAGGGAATACTATGTTTCCGTACTCTGAATAGGGACGAATAAAACTGTTGAAGGTTAGGTGGGAAGTTCTTCCGTCAAACTGACCAAAAGTGCGCTTCAATGTTATCAGTGCAAGGTTTGCTCGAAAGGCATTTTTGTCACAGTTAGAGTAAGATTTTGAGTCGTAGAGCACCAGAACTCCCAAATCTTTTTCGATTCGGGACAGCACTAGAGAGGAGTTTCCTAAG